CTATGTGAAGAATTACAAATCTAAATAATCCATCTTTCTGAATCTGATAATATGATATTTTTAATTTTATTTATTCATTTATTTTTTAGATTTAGATTTTTTTTTCTCCTGGGGGGGGGGGGGGAACCGTCTGTATACATGCGGGGGAGGCAACTTTTTTCCCCTTCTTGCTTATCCATATAATAGGACGATAAATACTATTAAATTACTTGCAGTATTATGAGAATTGCCATTGCAATTTCTTCCGCTGAGGACATAATTATTTAGTCCATGCCAAATAGGGATTAAGCACTGCATGTTTGTTTACAAACGGATCGCCTTTCCTTAGTCATATCCTCCTGACTGTCGGCTATATAGGGACCAGATGATAAACTAAATCACGATCTTTTTCACATTGATTCGTCCCATCAAACAGACATACTATCCATTGTCAATTCGAGCTGTATACACAATAGGCAGTGGTGTGATCATCCTCATGGCGGGATTCGAAGGTAATCAGGATGAGTAATAGAGGCCAAATCGGTCTAAAAGCCATTTGAGAGAATTATAAAGCAATAACCCAGGGTAATTTAACAAAAATGGATGTATACAACATGCAGAATGTTTTTTTTTAGAATGTATGTATTCATTTCGGGGAAGATTCCGTTTCGTTTCATTTCATTTCATTTATATCCAAATTAACTGCAAATACGTGCATAATCTACCTTTCCTCTAAATAAGCAATTTTGAAAATACAATGGTGAAAATATCGTACAATGTTGATACTGTCTTTGCTATAATGTTCCTCTTTATTGATTGATTGGTTTCGAATCTATTATATTCTGGTAGTAAGTCACTCGAACTTATAACATCATAGGCTTGAGATTAGACTGATCCCCCCCCCCCAAAAAAAAAAATTAAAATATTACGGTCTAGATTATAGAACGTTCTTGCACATCCATTGCCCTTGTCCTGCGCGCATGATTGTGTTGAAATCATCCAATCATTATTAATATACGATTTATATTTTTGAAGGTATAACGATATACAGCGCTGGCATATCGTCTGGTGTATCATGAGTTACGTGTCCTATTGCTTTCATTGTGTACTGAAATTCGGCTTCGGGTTATTGTGGTTACTATAAATACCATCTCCATTACAAAAAAAAATGCATGAATGCTATTGTTTTCAAATATGCCTACATTGTATATAGTTTGATCATCGTTTCATAATGTATCATCTAGTTTATTTGATAATATATCATCATGTCATGCGTGTTCATCGTTATTAGAACTATTGTTATTTCTTTAAGAATAGCGCCTGTTGTGATTATTTCATTATTCTAGACAAAATCACAATAATTTTATTATGCCTTCGGGTATGTACGTGCAAGAAATAATATACACACACGAGGCATTTAGAGCATTACAGAAAATATCGCAGAATAAGGCCAATTCAAGCTTTCATATCTCTCTTGATCACATTAATTTTATAAAGAATATTACCTGAAGGATAAAATGATATCATGTAAATTCACAATTTACATGATAACAATAGGTATTGCCCCCCTCTCTCTCTTTCTCTTTCTCTTTCTTCCCCCCCCCCCCCCCCCCTCTCTCTCTCTCTCTCTCTCTCTCTCTCTCTTCCCCTCTTCATCCCCTTCTCTCTCTCTCTCTTTCTCTCTCCCTCTCTCTCTCTCTCTCCCGTCTCCCACCCTCTCCCTCTCTCTCTCCCTCCCTCTCTCCCCCTCATTCTTTCTGAATCACTAGTGACTCCTGCCATTGGAGGCCAGTTAGTTTACCATATCCCATTAATAATACCCGATAGCCTTGCTAAAAATGAGAAACTAATCGATCGTCAGTGTCTTTTCTCTCCGCAATCATAATCATAATCATCCTACATTTATTATTTTTCCTCGATTTGATAGTCAATTTTTAGGATAATTGAAATTTCGATTATATGCAGTTACATGTATACTTATAAATTCTCTAATCTTCTATCAAGTATATAAGTCTACAATTATTGCACAATAGCATGTGCAATACGTGTAGTCAATGTAATGATATGCATACTATGCACTATTTTAGTGTATCATCTTAATAATCTCCATTGAAGATGTGATACAGTAGTACGAAAGACGTACTTCACCTCATTTCTTTCATAAATGTCTTTATTGTTATAAAGTTACACGATCCTCAACCCTATTCTCTTGTTATTGCATGTGCTGGCAACAACAAAAACACACAAAAAATGGACCACTGATCATAAGTTTCGAAGAGTGCTCATGACTGCGTAGCCATTGTTGCGGACAATGACTCGCTCGTTTGGTTGAAAAGAAATATGAAAAGAAAAAAAAAATATGATGTAAATGTTCGTCCTTGACGTATTGAAAATAGTGATGTTACTGTTATCATGTTTTTATGCACTATCATCGTTCAATACAGAAGTGACTATATTACAGGGCAATACCGACCCCGAATTTATCCTTATTAAAGAAAAAGAAAACACAAAACACAGCAAAACAAAACAAAACTAGTCAGACAAATTACAGAACGTCACAACTAAAAACAAAACAAAATCAAAGACACAAACAAACAACAAACAAGTATGATATTTTTGTGCCGTTTATGCACTATGATAGTAATCATCAGTCATGCACCATGGTGCACGAAGTATCTACTTATCTGTAAGTCACACCAGTTGATCAATAAGATTGTTTTACCATAGCTCTCAACATGAAGTAACAACAACAACAACAACAACAACAACAACGATTTGCAGAGTGATGCAATTTTTTTTTACAATCCTCTGATCTTTCGACAAAATATATCTGACGAAATCGTTCTTGATAAGCTTTACTTGTGTAGATATTCCTCCTGTTATAGAACGGGAGTTATTCAATACACAATAAACTATTAAAGGGCAATACCGACCCCCAAAAACAAAATAAAACAAAATAAAGCAAAACAAAACAAAAGATAAAATATAAAAAATACAAAATACGAGAATACACAGAAAGTAACAACTAAATACAAACAAAGTTGAAAACTACTAAATCATTAGAAGAATATAGAGTTTCAAGTCCAAGTTTAGATACCTTTTTTTAACAATGCTTGACACGAGAATAATGACACTTTTTCGGACTCTTATTTCTTATCTAATTCTCCTTGTGCGCCTCGGAGATGAAATTCTAGATAGATGACACAATACAAATTCCTATTATTATTATCATTATTTAACCAAAAAACACCAACGAACCCCCTCCCCCTCCAAACAAAAGGTTTAAAGGCGAAATAATATATACGATTAACGAGGAAGTCATGATTATTTTATGATATGAAGATCGAATTAGTACAGACAAAATTAGCAACTCGGTCATGACACAGTGATGTCTTTCATGGCAACCAAAGAATTTCATTTCAATGCCCCAGGCGCCCTTTTATAAAATCAATTGTAGCGTATCAATTTACCTTTGAGTGTTTTTTTTTCTTCGACACACATTTAACGGAAAATATTAAAGTGATTTTGAAAATAGTTTGAGAGAAAGATATCACAAAAGCATGACACTGTTCGTATCGTATACATAGGGGGAGGGCACCTAAATATTATAGATTAATAAAATGTGACAGAACAAGTCAATTGAGTGGGGGTATGGAATGAGGGGGGGGGGGGGGGGGGGGTATCGCTCGCTTCTCATGCACCCTTTCCCCGCCGCCTTTCCCTTCACTTCCTTAGTCTCGCTATTACTGAATCGGTGGACGTGCTCCTACCTCCACCCTCCGATACTAAATAATTCTAGTTCCACTTTTTTAGTTCAACAATCAACAAATCCGTTAAGCCATTTTATATCAACATTTTAACTTTCTGCATATTACAAAAATACATATACATTTCTCTCAAAGCGGGAGGGGGGATTACAGCACCTTGTGCCGCCCCTCCCCGGTCCAGTCACGTAGGCCTTTAGGCATATTCAGTAAGTGCCCTCGTGTCGAATGTGCTGTAAATGAAGTCGATTTATGAATTAATAATTTTAAAAATGTTTTAAAGAACGGGATGTTTTTTTTGTTTTTTTATAGACAAGATGATTTTGTTTTTCAGTGAAAAAAAAATGTGGGCGCAAATCAATAATTTTTTCTGCATTGAAAGTGATGGTTGCATATATGCAGTATAGAAAGTCGCTATCTTTTTGCTAACTATTGGGTCTTTTCCGTGAAATATGCACGGGAGACCATCCTAATTAATGCCTCCTAATTTTGCAACATTTGCACGTTCGACCCCCCCCCCCTTCCCATACCCAATCATAAAATTGACTTTGATTTACACGGATCTAAGTTTACCACACTGACACGGTGATAATTTCGTATCTAATCTAATGATTTTGCTTCTTTTATTAACGAAATTGTATGCATTTTTTTTTATTTTGGACGACTTCCAACGAGTTGGAATTTACACCCTAAATTATAGATGGTCGTTTGAATGCAGACGATTTCTCGTTTGAAATATCTCTGTGTCAATAACTGCTCAACACTATCATGTCTACATTATTGGTTTGATCCAGCTCCTCCTACCTCCCGGGTTCGACCATGGACAAGGGAATGAATGTAACGCACAACATGCGCTGAATCACAACATCACAATCGTATTTGCTAAAAGGAAAAAGAGAGTCGAAAATGTACAACACGTAGCATAACCCTCTTCACTATGGAAAAACTACAATAAGGGTATTCACATCGTATCGTCTGTATGACTGGTGCTCTTACAGCAAGCAGGTTAAACTGTTAATGGATTCGTCCAACACGTTGTCAACGGGAAGTTGCAATCCACACAATTACTTTAAAATCGATACATTTTACCTCTAACGTAAGGATAATCATTTTTACGATTCTTAATTGAGTTTTATCCTTATTTGGAATTTAAAAATAACAAAATTAATATTCAAGACATTCTAAAGTATTATTCATTGGCAGAAAACCCCGTTCAAGAAATGATAAGAACTCCCGATGGAAAAATTGACTATTCCGGACATGCGCAGTATACTTTTGAGCTGCCATCTTGGCGTAGACATCGCAATTTTACGTGGAATTTGTAGGGAAGAAAAATTGTTTTTCGAGGCTAAAAAGTGAATTTGGTAAGTAGAAGAAACTTGCAATACACACAATATGTAATATTGCACCCATGTATTGGCATTTTTAGATAAGAGAACGTGTTTTCATGTCCCAATTCTTGCATACAAAATTGTTTGTGGGCGTGTGTTATTTTGATGTAAACTAACAAGCGTATTCGTTCCACCGTATTATGTGCGGTGGTCTTCTTGAATATAGTGCTATCAACAAGCGGAAAGGAGCAAATTATATTACGTTTTAATCTATATTCTTTCTTTGCCTCGACATTTGTACCCCAGGAAAACACTTTACGATAAATGGACTAATGTTTCGTAGTGTTTGCATGGTTTGGCTATACACGGTGTGTCTGCAAACTTCACCTAATTTCAAGGTTATGTGTCGATTTTTACTTCGCAAGTCAATGCACGAGGATTCGTGCAGTGTGCGAATGGTAGGAGCGTTCTATTGAATATGCTAATCATCGCGCATGCGCACATTGTTTTCTAAAACCAGATTCATGTTCATTATTTCCATACTGTCGTTGTGTAATCTATAATTTTCTTTTCAGCACTAGCTCCACCACACCTGTATGACTTCCCTAGAACTGAAGTTTATATCTTTTAGTTTTGAAAATAAACAAAATCCACTAATTGACTGTAAAGTAATTTTTTGCCAGGAAAATGTGATCGAGATAGAAATTAGAATTGTTACGTTATTTTCATATGACATTTAATTTCCTATCGTCTTGTAAAGTGAAGCTGATTTTAAAGATAAGCTAATTAAGCTAACAAAAATATTGATGGTCATCACCGCAAGGTCCATTTGCACAGGGTTCTGAAATACATTATCAGTATAGCCTATCTAAATTTTGTTTGTCACACAGGTAGTGATAGTGGTTATTTTATCTGACTGCTAAGAAAGCATAAATGCTTGTAAGTAATTAGCAACCAGACGGCTGACGGTTTTAGGTCCTTTCCGATCGAGGGACCAGGTAATGAGGATTAATGTGCAGTGTAGATCTGGACTGCTATGAATTTAAAGAGGTTTACATGCACTATTTCATAAATCTTTTGAGAATTATTTTAGACAATAATTTGAAGGACAAGTATTTATGATGATTATTGCTATTTAATGCATACGGTAACTTTCGTTAAATCCAAAGACAGAAGTGACAACTCCCATCATACGATATGCAGCTAGTGCCATTACTGCCATGGCATAATTGGCATAATGAAACTAGATTTTAGTTTACTTATACATGTATGTTGTACATGTAGTTGTATCTGTATCTGTATTTGTATGGTATGTTCAGCAAAATGTCCTCTTCAGACACATATCCACGCATAGTTGTATGCGACCAGCAAAATAACAGATGTTAACAGATGAGAGAAAAATGTTATATCAAATTCTAGATTCATGAGGCAAGCTTATAAATGTTATGGTTGATAGTTTAGTGTTTGTTTTATTATTTTCATATTGTTAAAAATCACAGAATGTGTGCAAACTATCAATAGACCTATACAAATACAATTTCTTTCTCCCATTTTCCATACTTTGATTCATTTGATAGAAAGTTATTCAAGTATAGTTATTTTTCAGAGGCTTCCACAATTTTTCTTCCACTATAGAATCACTGAGCTTGATTGTTTTAAATATCTGGCCCGTTGCATATAAATTACCATTGGTGGTAACTTTGCCATTGATGGTAACTTCCATGGAAACCTTGATGGCAAAGTTACCATCAATGGTAAGTTTCATGCATGAGGGTCCCTGATACATGATTCAACAGGGCTCAGTCACAATTCCTTTTGTTTCTGGGATAATCTATGCTGAATTTTATAGACATCAAATAGGGATTGTCCCTACAAATATTTGCCTTATACACACATTAATATGTCAGCTGAGCTAATCATTTACTATTTGCAACTGCTTAAATAATAATTTAGACACATTGTCACACAGTGTCATTGGTCTATCACTGGATGTATAGTGCTAAACTACATGTTAATGCATGAAATACATTTGCATTTACTCTTTAAAATTTTTGTTTTCACAGATGGAAACTGCATGTATTCATGATTTTTTTTTTTTAAGGAAGAATTTATGGCAATATTTTGATACGTCCACAGGGGAACCTAGTTTTTAGGAATTTGTTTGTTCTAGATTTTGTTTTTGTTTCATTGGTAAAGTCGATTATAATCTGAAAGGGTAATATTTTCATGTTTTTCAGTATTGAAAACATAAATTCACATTTATGTGAGCTTAATACTTCTCACAGCAGGGGCGGCGCCAGGTTATTTTGTTAGGGGGAGGGGGGAGGGGGCGAATGGGCGCACCACCAATGGAGGGTGTCTGAGATTTTTTTTAAAATTGATGGATAAATGGCTCAATTTGGTGGATACTTTTTGCGAAATTAAAAAGAAAACGGTCTTTAGTTCAACTAACATTAACAAGAATGCAGGGGGGTGTCTGAGGGGGATGTCATGTCCCCCTCAGAAGTTGAAGATTTGTTGTTATTGAATTGATGCATACATTATAAATGGCTCGATTTGGTGCATACCTTTTGCCAAATTAAAAAGAAAACAATCTTAAGTTCAACTAACAGGAACAAGAACGCAGGGGTGTCCGAGGGGGGATGTTCTGGTAATGTGAATGTAATAATGACACATCTATTTATAAAATCTGATCGCCTGATTTGGCTAGTTTTTTCTCTCTTTTTCTTAATTTTCTATATCTTTATTTTTTTCCCCTCTCCCCCCGCCCTCCCTTACGTCATAATTTACGTTTTATAGTTCTCTTTCTCCTGGCCTTCCTCCTTCTCGTCCCCTTCCTTTTCTTTTCTTCTCCTTTTTGTTTCTTCTCCTTCTTTTCCTTTCCTATTCCTTCTCCTTTTCCTCTTTCTTCTTCCCTTCCTCTTCCTTTTTTTTCAAAATGATAGGGAGGGCGGTCAGACCCCCTGCCCCCCCCCCCCCCCCCCGTAGCGCTGCCCCTGTCTCACAGTATATGATAAATGTTATCAGCCTTAGTTAATTTTATTTCTATTGTTCTACACACAAAAAGTTGTATTAAAACCTAAGAACCAGAAAATACATAGTGTTTATCTCTGTAATCTCAAAGATGATACACTTCGAAAGTTCGAATCTAAAGATGTTATAGCTTCTGTAATAAGCTTGTGATTTATCTAATGTAGAGATTGCTGTGTGACATGCAATTTGTAAAACTTCTTAAATGCTTGAAATGCCATGGCGAATGTAACGTTTTCAGGTGTGAACTGACACTTTGATGGAAATTTTCAAAAGAATTAGGTAGGAGAACTTGTTATTTTGAACAAAAACATGTTGAGAGTTAAAAAGAAACATCTTTGCCATGTCATAGAGAAGGAGCTAATTCAGTCAGTTCAACATACATCCCCCTAAATTTTACATGAAAATATCTATTTACAGGGAGGACGGAACATGCTTTTTCCATTGAGTTTGTGAAAGCCAAAATTTTATATTATAGTATTAATGACTGCTTTGAGAGAAATAGTTGTTTTTATACGTTTAAAAACAACTATTTCTCAAATATTAAAGCAGTCATTAATACTTTTATATGCCGGAAAAAAAAAAGAAAAAAAAAACAGCTTTTGTCGAAGATGGGATTCGAACTCTTGCGTACCAAAGGTGATGTAATTAAAGTCAGCGCATTAAACCACTCAGCCAGCGTGCTCTGTCACCATGCGCAGTAGTTTTCTTTAATATATACATTAAAATGAATTGAAAACGGCTTCGCATGGTCGATGCTTCGCGGCTGCTCCATTAAACAGGCCCTTCTTTTACTTTTGCAATGCATATTGGCACGAATTTAGATCAAGATCTATCGGGCAGATGTTGTTTTTTTGTTTTTGGAAGTTTATTTTCGTCTTCATGTCAACAATGCAAGATAAAATTGTCGGTAAGATCGATCGAGATTCAATTGTATTGAAATTACCGACCAATTCTTCGCACACGTACGGTATCCTCGATCGCTCAGACCATTTTTTAACATGTAAACCTATGGGGTAACCATGGAGACTGACCTATTTTCCCAATAACCATGGTTATTGGGATTTTGAACTGTTTTTTAACCATGGTTACCGGGAATTTTCAGGAACAGTTAAAGTTTATGAATGCAATTTCGACCAGTCAGATTGCTGGATTACTTAAGTGAGGTATATAAATCAATTTAGCACACTAATCACATAAAATAGGCTGAAAATGTGTCATTATCTCTTCAGTGACATTTGTGGCACCTCTCTTCTCTGATGGACTCAAGATAATCTTGATAGCTTATGTGGCGGATTTGACAGTTTTTAATATCAAAGACACTTTGCTTATTCTCTTAATTGCTGAGCATTGTTTAGCATTAGATCCCCTAATGCCATGGCATTAATGTCCTTTAGCAAGACATGAATCTACATTTGCCATACTCCACCCAGGTGAGGTAAATGGGTACCCGGTAGGAAGAAATTCCTTGAATGCGTGAGCATCTTTTCATGGTAGCTGGGCAGGGCCCTCGGGAGAGCAGTATGAATACTGATGAGTAGGTGATGAGGCTACCCTGGGTAAACAAGACATATTATTATTATTATTAACAACAAAAGACAGCACTCTGTCAAATCATGGATCCAAAGTCATTGGAATTGTCAATTTAGATTGAGGGTTGGAGAAATTGAATTTCATACATGATTGTTGATAACTCTCAAGAAGAATGAAGTAAATAAAATACACGAACAACATTTTCCTTGATAGCTATTACAACATTTCAATTGTCTAGGCATCATAATTTTGAAAAGAAGCTTCATATGCCCATCAAAGTTATTGATTTGAAAAATAGGTTAATTCTTGTTATGATTTTGAAAATATAACCTCTTTTGAATACATGATTGTACATGTAAGCCAGATTCCCTAAAAGGGTCCTGAAATTGACTATTGTGGATACTATAAATTCATACCAGACAACTATTTTTAAAGCTATACCATATGACATGCTGTTTATATGGTCTTATTTGCCAAAAAAAATATAATATTGTATGCAATCCGACTTAATTTTATTTAAGAATACTATTCATTTTGAATAGTAAGGGATAGTCTATTTCATCTGGATGATTTTTGGCTAGTTCGACTTATTGGGGGGAGGGGGGGGGGGGAGGGGAGGGGGGGGGGGGGGGAGGGGGGGGGGGGGGGAGGGTGATAACTATGACAGGACCCCTACACTGTAAATACTTATTTGTGGTGATTGCTCGTGATTGTGTCATCACAAGAACTGATTGATGAATTCCTGCCGAACTTAGGTCATGTATGTATCTTGCAGAGCCAATTAATTGATTAGCTTTTGGGGTCACAAGGTCATAGGTCAAAGGTCACAGGGCTCATGTATGCAAAAATTGCTTGAGATCGCATGGTCATTAGAACCGATGGATGGATTACCATTAAACTCAAAACATGTATGTATCTTGCAGAGCCAATGAACTGAGTAGATTTTGGGGTCATGAGGTCAAAGATCAAAGGGTCATACATGTACAATGAGAAATAGCTTGTAATCACGATATTCTGAGAACCTGTTAATGGATTACAATTGAACTTGAATTTGAAAAATTGCTTCTGTTTGGTTTGTAAAATTGCTCAGTGATGGAGGCATCATGCTCGACTACGCGCAGTCGAAGATCCATCTAGTTAATGTTAGTTTGCTTTTTCTTATCAGATGTGCTCATGAGATTTTATGACAATGCCCAGTAAAATACAACAACAAAACATTAACTTGTCATCCCAGGATTAGGAAAACAAAAATATAGGGCTTATTAAATTTGAGTTACTGACTAAGGGCCATGTCCATGAGAAACCGTGGTGGGCATCTTGGGTGGGTGATTGGCACCTTTTTAATTTTTTTTTTAATTATTCATTTATTTCTGCATGGTTCAACCGTTTACACTAGTAAACACTAGATTACAATCATTACCGGTATACATTTGCAATTGTAAATAATACAGAAGCATACAGAGGTATGACAATATGAGCTTGATACTTGAGAGATTGCCACACCTCATCATCTAACAATATATTTTTTGTTGGGTACTCACTTCTCAACTAGTGCACAAAATAGCTGGTTCCACATTGCGTAGCTTCAGATATTACCAGTGGCACCTGGATAGCGCAGGCCTAATTTACTTATTCACAAGCAAGGAACAAATATTTTGGAGGGACTATAAATTACTTGTTTCCTCAAGTTCAAGAAAATACCATGACAGGTGCCATTCAATTCTTATTCACACCTTTGAGGTACTATACTGCTAGGACAGCTAGGGTCCCAATGTTTCTACATTGGATGTATCAATCAAGGAGACTTTTATGATAATTGCTTGACACATTTATTTTTATATCATGGCAATCATTTGGAAAGATACCTGTAGCTGTCATGGGCTTCTATGCCAGAATTTCAGATGGCTCAATATCAAAATTTACCACATGCATACCTACAGTTGTACCCTTGTGTCAAATTTGGTTAACTTATTACAATTCAAATTAAGACAAGGGGGTTGGAAAATCTTAATTTACATATACCGGTAGATCATTTCAATTTCAATTTAAATATATTCCAGGCACACTTTGTAATGGGCACCTGTGACGCATATTTGTCACTTTTAAAAAGCCATATTTTCCTGATCACAGTCAGAATAAATTTTATATACATGTACACGTATGGAGTGTATTCTTCCATTGTCCTCGAGATGATTGCTCAGTACATTCTTGATAAAATATTATTGATTTGACTAGTGTAAATGTCCTTTTGCAATTGTAGTTGAAAACATCTGTTCATATCTACATGTACATTGTATGTTAAAATCACAGCTGCCACAAGGAATATCAGGCATTCATACCTTTACAGCAAGCAGTGACCTTGGTTACAGTGGTTTTGAAAATTACTGGTTAATAATTACCTGTGAGTGGAAAATAATTTTTTTTAAATAAATAATAATAATGGGTTCTTGTATAGCACTCTTGTCAGTCAGATTTGACCCTCCTGGCGCTCCCGATTATTACCCTGGCTTTAGCACGGCTGCCATACGGCGCTCTAGCATTTCAAAGAATAAATTCCTACCAGGTACCCATTTACTTCACCTGGGTGGAGTGTGGCAAATGTAGATCAATGTCTTGCCAAAGGACATTAGTCCGGCGGCGGGACTCGAATTGTGGACCTCGTGATCGACAGTCCGGCGACGTATCCACTCGACCACAACACACAATAAGAGAGATAGAATTGGTGATTCTGTTCACTATGTCACACCGCCATGTAAAATATCATTAACTGTGAGAAAATTTGAACTCATATTCAGAAAAACTATTTGCAGTGATTGTTCAGAGGCACTGTGATATTTGATCAATTCAATTACTCTTTGGATTGTGTGTATCAGGTAGTAATTGAAAATGTCCATTCACATGTGATTTTTTCACATCCGCCACAAAAAATTGCAGGCATTCATAACTTTACAGCATAGAACCTGGTGAGCAGTGACCTGTGTTCTCAAAACTTGAGCAGATCTACATGTATTCTTGGTGGTATAGCCAGACATGACTATTTGTTTCTCTGTAAGATTATGTCAAAAATGAACTTGATGTTCCCTTCAAATGTTCATGAATTAATGTCACATGTTTGATATCATTTACTGTGAAAAAAACTCTTTTATGAAGTAAGAAAATAACCTTTTCTGATTGTTGATTTGATTTGTGCCGACTGTTCAATAAGTTATGATTAGGTTGTGGCCTTTATTGATTGGTCTAGGTGTTAAATGTACGCTCACATCTGTTCTTGTTGCATCCACCACACCCTCCTGCAAATGCTGAAATTTCAAGGACATTAACAATTTAGTAGTAAATTATGTACATGTACGGTGTACATCATGTTATATGTGTTACGAGCATTATAATGAAATGCTTGTAGTACACATCCTAAATAAAGTGTGAAACAAGAGAAACTTGTTGGAGTCATATACCTTGTTTAGATGCAAATTTTTCCTTCAACATGGGATAATTTAGCGGTAAATTGAGATAAACACCACAAAATTGTGGAAACACGTCATACATGTAGTGTTGGTTGCACAGAGGGTCCTTTAGCTATGCCTATGTCCATGCATCGCCTTAATATGATGTTTATCTTCAAAGTTACCTAAAACTCCAAAAGAACCATTACATTATCAGAGATGATGATACAAATTAGGCAATACATTTGCCATTGAATTCACAAAACTCCATTTCGTTGAAAATCAGCCGTAGACGAAAGACTTCATGCATGGCTGATTGTCAACCAGACAGAGTTAAGTCTGTTGTCAATTCTGCATGTTGCTATGGCAGGCACAAAGTGAAAACGAATTTGTTTGATAGAATTATGGAAATGCAAGCACTACTTTAAACAAACAGAACTTTGCCATTCCTTGCTCATTTTTCCTGATTGAGGTGTCATATAAAAGGGCAGAACCTCAACTTTCTAGAAATGTAATTTTCTCTTTGAAATTCAGATACTGTCCGCCATATGACTTTTTGGTTTCCTCTCTTCAAATTCATTTTAATCACTCATGCGTGAAATATGCATCATATGAGTTGCATCAAATGAAAGAGGATGATCTAAGCTTTAAAAATATTTGTCATTTAGTAATTATAAATCTGACTACGTTATGATAAAACAACGATAATTCTTGGTTTTGTTTTTTCTGGGACGCACTGTATAAACCTTATTGTTTCCTGTTGAGTTTTCAGTTATTGTGCATTGAAAGTAGTTGAAATATGATTTTTAATATTCTTTCGAGGAAATGTCAGTGTCATCCCTGTTCAGTCTTTGGTATCAGTAATTACAACTTTCGAGTGAAAAGAGTAGTTTCCATTCATCCTTTTTACTAGTGAGCAAAAAATTGGAACATTTTTTTCTCTCTTTTTTGCAGGGCTGATGAGAAGTTTTAGATTAATGGTATAAAGATGGATGGAAGTGAAGCAGCTGACAACCTGATTGTGGAACCCATCAATGCTGCAACAAATGCAACTGGGCTTGAACCTTCACCTCAACCATCATCTACCGGTATGGCAGCTGGACCCTCTGCTGTACCCACTCCAGGGGCAAGTGAGAGGAACGGTGGAACTCCAGGTCCTCAGGGTATCGTCATTCTTCAGCAACCAAGACCAGGGTTTGTAAGGTCTTTCAAGCAAGCCCAAGTGCTCCCGCAAATCAAGATGAAACCAACCGGTATAATGCCAAAGAAGAATGTCCTCAAGGAGAGGCCTGTGATTGTTAAGAAGCGCTTACCATCACCAGGTTCTCCGCTGCAAGGAGTCAAGGCACAACCACCAAAGTCTACACCTGCAGGAGAAGAAGCAGATGCAGTAGCCTCTGCAAAGGCAACAGCTGCTGCTGCCGCCGCCGCTGCAGCTGCTGCAGCAGCTACAAGAGCCAGGATGACTCCACCTTCCTTCAATCCTCTTGGTTCTAAACTTGCACCAAAGCCTCTTGTTCAAAACCCAGGCTCAGGTGGAATAACCTCGGCTCCATCTGCAGCTCCCAAGAAAAAAGTGATCCAAATCAAGAAAACAGAGGCTTCAGGATACATATTGAACCAGGTAATACCCAAGGGTCAGTCACCTGTTCCAACACCAGCACCCTCAAAGACTAGCTCCCCTCAGCAGCCTCCACTGAAGAAGCTAGCTGTTCTGGCGGCTGCTCCTCATGGACAGACAGAGAACTTACAACAAGTGAACATACAGTCTCTTCCCCAGGTACCTATATTAAGAAGGGCTTCACAATCTGAACAGCAGCAGCAACAACAACATCAACAGCAGCTTAGACCACTTAAAGTATTTGTAGCCAATCCTCAAGCACTTGGTGCAGGAGATGGCAAAACCCATATCAAGACAGCTCATGTGGACAGTTCTGGAAAAGTTCAAATTGGTAAGGTTATACATGGCTTACCAAAATCTAGACTTGTACCTGCTTCAATATCCCCTAAGATAGTTGTGGGTGCCCCTGCTACACCAACACAAGTTGGTGCACCACATCCTTTGAAAGTCTCTGGAATTCAAACAGTACAGCAGTCCATTCCTACTGCACAGCCAAATACTACAAACCAACCGCAGCAGGTAACTGTGTCATCTGCCAAACTTCAAGGAGGTCAATTCCAGTTTGTTGCTGCTAATGGACAAAAGTATGTTCTTACATCTTCACTGTTTCCCACTTTTACCACAACCTCACAGGGGACGCTTACTCCAGTGCAGACCAGTGTTGCTAATGCAAATGCTGCTGGCTCAATAGCTGGAGGCAATCAACCTATTACTCTGCAGCTTAGTTCTGGAGCACAGGTAGTTCAAAGCCGCAGTGGTCAAGATGTCAAACCATTTATACAACAAGTATCAGGGTCAATTGTGAAGGGTAAGCCAGTGCCTGTTCAACAGGCTCTTGCAAAGATTGCTGCCTCTGCCCAAGTTGCTGGGGGGCAGAGGATTCAGATACTTCCCTCTGGCAAGTTAATTCCCGGGTTGACCTTGGCCAGTGGTACTCCAACAGCGATATCACCAGGGATGAAGTCACCTCAGGCAAAGATCACTACCCTTGGGCAAGTCGGTGCTCTTACAAACTCCCAACAGGGTGGCAGTCCTCAGCAGCAACAGCAAGGTCAGCTACCTCCTAGAACCATTGGTCCATCTACACCAACATCGGCTCCCACTACATCAATGAACCTTGTCTACCAACCTCCCATCCAGGGTGCTAAGAATGCCATAGTAATGACCAAGCCTCCAGGGAGTGGCAACCAGCAACCAAAGAATACAAGTGGCACTCTGCAGCAACTCATCCCTCATCAGATCATAGGAGGGAACAACCAGATTCTGATCCAGTCAACCATGCCATCGCAGCAAATCAGGACTAAACTTGTTCAGGCACCAATACAGGTACATGTTTTAGAAATCAAAGTTGATTCTTTTCATAATAAGAATACATATTGAGTAGCTTTGTTAATTTTTGTTTTTGAAAAATAATCTTCCTTTTCATTTGCACTTATTTAGTTGACCAGAAAGGCTTTAGAAATTTGAAGACCAGACCTATGTCTATGAAAAAAAATAAGCACTGGCATTGAAAACTTTTAGAATGAAACTCTTTCCTAGGTAATGTCATTTCTCTTTATAAATCACAAAACTGTTTTATATTAAACTTTTGATGAATTGATGATGCAGTTTATATCTCTGAAATGATTTATGTTTTATGTTTTTCTCAATGTTTTTACATGCATATCTTTTTTATTGCAGCTTTACAAATAAAATATACATGTAATTTGTTCTCACAATCTCATCATTCACCTGTATTTAAAAAAAAAAACAGATTTCGAATTCTCCGTCCATTCCACATGGTAACAAACCTCTTTCAAAGCAACCAGACAACTCGGCCATGCCACCACCACCCCTATCGGCACCGGCTGGGACACCCAGCACCGTCAGTCAATCAGGCAGCCTTCAGTCTGCTACCATGATGCAGCCCCAGCTGCTGCAGACCTGTGGTGCTCAGGCTACCATTGGACTCATCCAGGTACCCATGGTAAATCTCATTTAGGGTACCCATACATTATTACAGGGAAGTTACATGCACTGTACACAGAAATATGTATATGGGACTACATGCATATGTGGCATAAAAATCTGTCCCGATTGTTATGCTGTTACATGCCATATTTAGAATTTTAAGGCATATGAAGAGCCATGCTTTCAGGGAACATAGTTTATCTGATGTTCTTCCACACTTGCATAATACAATGATAACACACACAAATTATTTCTCACCTCTTCCCAGAACTCAACCTTGTCTTTAACCAAGTCTTGGTGAATTCTACATGCATTGTGAAATTGTTAACATGAATTAAATTTAAAAGACAGTTTTTGTCTGATTCAAGTGAGGCAATCAACATGGTACAGTAATCAGATAAACTTAAATCTTAAATGTAAATAGGGAACAAACAGGACAAAATAGCTTGTACTTGCCCATGTTTAAAGAAGAAGTTTATTATCGATGTCCTGAAAAGATAGGTCTTACAGATCAATTAAACCTGTTGTGGTTCTTCTCTTCCTAGTTTGGAGGTGGTCGAGAGGAAATTGGTGCCGTTACATAAAAGAGTAGTTACCATTGTGATAGCTGTGGTCTTAACTCATGAAATTCCTTCGGCTTCCTATAGGGAAACTTGCTTTATCAACCACCTGTGTACAAAGGCCACTTTTCCTCCTGTGAACAGTGTTTCTCATTGAATTCTCAATTTAATAACTTATACATAAGGCCACCTATTTAAACATAATATTTGTAACCTTTCCAGGTCAACATTGGTCACCCTATCCAGCTACAGTCTAGTGCATGTTCAACCAATGTGACCCATAGTCATTCTGGTAGCATCCTCGCCAAGAGTGGAAACACCACCCCGCAGTTGGTGTCAAGCAATGCCATTTCTCCCGGTCAAATCTTCCAGCTAGTCCAGACTTCAGGAAAAGTACCCATGCTCTCGCCAGCGATCAAAGAAGTAAGTTACTTGACTTTTGTATGAAGTTCAAACCCTAAGAAGAGAGAGAAAATAAACTCTGCATTTCACTTTCTTTCTATAATATATTTAACTAACCCTATAGCTCCGTCCATATTTGTGAAAACTGGACATTGCCAATGTGCGTTTCCCCCCTTTGCTATAGCCTCCAGAACTGTTCACACCCTTGTCATTTTTCAAGATTGATGTTAAGCATGCACCTACATCCATTCCAAATGTCCCTGACTAACAAGGTCCTAGTGAAAATCAGCAAATCAAGTGAAAAGGAAGAGACTGTTGTGGTCAAAGACAAATCAAAATACCATTGTCCAGATTTGATCTTCTTTTCATGTTTGAATCAATAGTGTCTTCCAACATTAGTTTCTTTACCATTGTCTGCATAAGGGCTTAAAAAGATGTTGTATTGCCCTTTAGGTGCCAGTACCTGGGTCGGTTGGTCAGATTAATAATTTAAAAAATCCCCCCTCCCTCAAAATAGCGACCGTCACCCCCAAAAATTGAAACCAGGAACGTCGCTCATTTTTTTTTTACACATAATGGTACATTGATCTCTCCTTTGCTATGAAGTCTGAACTGTTCACATCTTTGTTTGTCTGTCTAGATTGAGGTCAAACATCCCTCTACACCCGTTCCGATTGCCCCTGCTCTCAGAATCCCAGTCAAACCAATCAAGCCAAGTGAGAAGGAAGAGCCAGTCAAGGTCAAGAATGAGTCGAAGGAACCATTATCTAGCATCGATGTAGCACTAAAGTAAGTCTTGGTCTTAAAATCGATCAGCCTTTTCGCTCTATGTCGGTACGGGACTCGGCTGTATGTGGTGTGATGGGCTGCTCAAACTTGTGTGTGTACTTACGTGTACTGAGTCTGTGTGTGTTGGCGTGATAAAGTTTGTGAATACGTCGTACCCATTCATTAATTCTGCTGTGTGCTACTAGTACTGCAGAGAAAATGTCTCTTAGCCTGTCATTAGCGAAAAGATCTGGCAAAAATATCAGCTTATACAGTAGACCAATGCTGTGGTTTGGTATGTGTTATTATATGACTACATTTCTTTTTCCAAACAATTACATGACACATAGAAAGTATTATATCTGAATTAAAAAAATCATCAGGTACCGCTATAATTTTTCTGTTATTTTCTATTCTGCACACAGGTATGGAACGTTTCCTCAGGCCCCAATCCCAATGAATAAACGCAAGGCTTCTGAGATGATGGAGGAATCAGAATCAGAGGACAATATTCACAAAGCACTCAAAGTAGAAGGTAAGAATCACAATTTCCATAGCTTTGTTGGTAGAAATCTTTGAACTTTTGATATAATTCATCGCCAATTATATCAGGCAATTTGACCATTATGTTTAATTGAATTGAATTGAATTGTAGTAACTGTATACATTATGAGATAAAGGGAGAAAATGCTCTTTAGGAAGCCACTTTTATCACTTTGGGATTGGTTATTCTAAAAATGCATCATGTAGAACTTCTTATGGCTAACTTGGTGACTATTTGGGGTCATTTGTATTGTGAGCTAACTATGAACTGGTTTGTATGAAGAAGACTGAAACAGGATTTTGCTCCTGTCTATCATAAACTCTGAGAATGAGTGACTGAGCACAGTTGTATCTGGTCAAGGCCTTTATAATTTAAAAAAGTGAAATTTAATGTTCAATATTTCAATGCTGTTTATTCAATCATATTCAAAACAATATTGATCAGGTTATGAAACACAAATAACGGTATGTTTTTGGCAAAGCTTCGTTGGTGACGATTCTGTATTTTGTGATAGTGTCTGCCTAAATCTCACTCCAAGAAGAAGTTTTTACAGACTTTTTTTAGCACTTAGGTATCTGATGGTATTACATGTCGTAATAATGTACATGTGCTTTGAATATTATACCCAATGCAACACGTAACCAAGGGTCTCATTATGTTTATCATTATATTGACAAGGATTAATTTGTAAATTGTTTGTTTTGATTTGTTAGTTAACAAGCCAGAAGAAGAGAATGTAGAATTCTCTTGGGAAGAGTATCTGGATATCACTGGAGCTACAACTGCCCCTTTCTCATGCTTCCCTCATGTAAGTCATTCGTCTCTTTTGCTACAGTATAATAATAATAATAATAGTGGGTATAGCACTCATGTCTGTCAGACTTTACACTATTGGTGCTCCACAATTATTACCCCAGTTTTAGCCTGGCTGCCATTAAGGTGCTCTGGCTTTTAAAGGAAATTCTTCCTACCGGATACCCATTAACATCACCTGGATGAAGAGTCTCAAATGTAGATTAATGTCTTGCCTAAGGACATAAATAACGAGGCGGGACTGGAACCACGCATCATGTGATCCACAGTCCGGTGACGTATCCACTAGACCACGACATCTGTCATGATCCTCTCTTCATCCATTTGCTATAAAGCTATGGGCTGTATCATACATGTTTCTATACGTCTATTATGTTAGCATTCATGATAGTAGTGATAGAACAAATACACCCATTCTGTATATGACTTGTGAAGACTGTTTCTATTACATGTACCTACTGAAGGCAGATCGTACTTTGAAAATAACCCTCCGCCACTGAAATTTGCTCTGCAAAATTTGGAGCAAAGAAACAGATCATTTATTTTAAACAAAAGGAAAGCCTATATATGATATTCCTTCCTGTCTAAAAAAAACCTTTATTATCTTTAAGAGGTTCATTTTACCATGCTGACTTGTAATCATAGAGGCTCACATGTTATTAAGCTGTATTCCCTCTGCAATCACCCGAGACCTTTTAAAACACCTTTCTATGACTGAATACACTTCTCAGTTGCAGAATGGAGGTAATCTAATTGTAGGTTTTCACAAGGGCGATCTAACATTTCGTCTATCAACATTTGCTCGGGCTTTAATTGTCAAAGATAAAAGTGTTAGGGTTTCAATTGCATTATAGGTTAAGTCTAGGGTTAGGGTTATGGTTGGGTAAAGTGTTGGGTTCAGGACTGACGTTCGGAAATCAGTTAGTGTAGGAGTTGACAGTGGAGAAATTGTAGCCAAAGCATGTGCCAAACAACTAGTCTAGTGCTGTAACATCACAGATATCTCCAATTTCGTTTAACCGCCAGTCAAAACCGAACAGTTTTCGGTTAAACGATTTAAAAAAAAAACAAATTAAAAACCGGGAAAACGAAACCGTCCAATTGAAAACGGATAGTGCCATGGGCTTTCGGATACCGGATGGTTAAACGTTTGACTACAGCACTACATACAACCATCACAAGTCCTAGTGGTGGGACAAGGGCTCTACTGGGCTTCGAGATCAAATACCAAGCATCCACAGTACTTCATTCCAACATTTCCCATCCCATCATTTCTTGTTGCGTAGGTGGAATCCAGTCTGACATGCTACGTCAAGTTTGGTATGAAGGTGGAGGTGCCCAACCCCATCATGACCTACCCTATCCACGTCAAGAGTTACTGGGTAGCGACCATCGTGGCCCTCTCTGGCTCCCTCATGCTGCTGAGGTATGATGGATGGGAGGAAGGGGATCGGTCGGGAGACTTCTGGTGGGACCTGGTCTCCATGGAGGTCCATCCCATCGGATGGTGTGCCAGGAATGGCTATGTCCTGACGCCCCCAAACTGTGAGTATTCATGTTGTTGATCTTTTTGTATATTTATTCTTAACAATGAAGATAATAAACATTAATGGTAGTGAAAAGGAAATTGTGATGAAAGATGTTTAATGTACGTAGTCTCCTAATACTCTACCTGTATCATAAGATACATGTACATGTGAGATATTTTCTTGTTTTCATGGGCCCATTGCATAACACTTACCATTGATAGTAACTTTGCCATCAATGGCAACTACCATAGTAACAGGGCTCAACAGCTAATCAAAATCAAGGTTTCCATGGTAGTTACCATCAATGGTAAGTTTTGTGCAAATGGCCCTGACCATGACTTCCAATGATTACGGATATTGGGCCCTAAGCGAGGATCCTTCTGTTCTGACGTCTCACTGTTAAGCAATCTCAGAGGTACGTAAAACTCACACAGTTGGAAGTTATGTGCAAAGTTATTCATGTAGATTTTTTTTATGCCTCCGTTACGAAGTAGCCGGAGGCATTATGTTTTCTGGTTGTCCGTCCGTCCGTCCGTACGTCCCGTTCTCGTGATCGCGTTATCTGAAGAACCGATTAATGGATTCCTGCCAAACTTTGGTCATGTATGTATCTTGCAGAGCCGATGAACTGATTAGATTTTGGGGTCACGAGGTCAAAGGTCAAAGGTCACAGGGCTCATTATGTATGCAAAAACAGCTCGTGATCACGTTATCCAAAGAACCGATTGATGGATTCCTGCCAAACTTTGGTCATGTATGTATCTTGCAGAGCCGATGAACTGATTAGATTTTGGGGTCACGAGGTCAAAGGTCACAGGTCACAGGGCTCGTTATGTATGCAAAAACAGCTCGTGATCGCGTTATCTGAAGAACCGATTGATGGATTCCTGCCAAACTTTGGTCATTTATGTATCTTGCAGAGCCGATGAACGGAATAGATTTTGGGGTCACGAGGTCAAAGGTCAAAGGTCACAGGGCTCATTTTGTATGCAAAAACTGCTCGTGATCGCGTTATCTCCAGAACCGATTGAAGGATTCCTGCCAAACTTAGGTCATGTAGGTTACTTGCGAAGCCGATGAACTGATTAGATTTTGGGGTCATGAGGTCAAGGTCAAAGGTCATGCGGCTCATTATGTATGCAAAAATAGCTTGTGATCGCATTATCATTAGAACAGATTGATGGATTCCTGCCAAACTTAGATCATGTATGCATCTTGCAGAGCCAATGAACTGAGTAGATTCTTTGGTCATGAGGTCAAAGGTCAAAGGTCATGGGCTCATTATGTATGCAAAAATAGCTTGTGAACACATTCTCATTAGAACTGACAGATGGATTACTATTTAACTCGGGACATCTTGCAGAGCCAATGAACTGAGTAGATGTTAGGGTCATGAGGTCAAAGATCAAAGGGTCATATATGTATATGAGAAATTGCTTGTAATCACAATATTCTGAGAACCTGTTAATGGATTACAATTGAACTTGAATTTGAAAAATTTCTTCTGTTTTGGTTTGTAAATTGCTCTATGACGGAGGCATCATTTCGACTACGCGCAGTCGAAGTTCCATCTAGTTTTTTTACTCATTCGTTTTAATTGCAACATGCATAGTGCAAAAATATGCTGTGCTGCAATTTTGTTAACCAGCTAATATAACCTATCTTGTCCTTTGATTTCCACAGCTCTTATCCACAAACCCATCAACTGGCAGGAATTCCTGATCCAGACACTGACAGGCACAAAGACCATTCCAGAGCAGATTCTAAAGGAGGTAAGAATAAAGCATAATAATGAGCAAGTGTAAAACATCCCAAGATATCTCTATCTAAAGAGAGACTTGATGCTCAGTTGGTAGAGCAGTGGTCTCGTAATCCGGCGATCGATGCACTAGTGTCCTTTGGTAAGGTATTAATCCTCATTACCAGGTCCCTTGGAGAGGACCTAAAGCCGTCTGTCCTGTGGTTGCTTGCTACCAAGCATTTATGCTTTCTTAGTAGTCGGGTAAAATAACCACCATTAAAACAAATGATTTGATTTGGGCCTGAATGTATGTAACCAATAAATATGTCATGCACCTTAATTGAAGGTTCATTTATCTTTTAAAATACAGCTTAGAAGGCACATATATATCACCTGATTTGCTATCTGTCAAAGCATTTCATTTCTACTTTCCTTTGTAAATTGTAGATGAAATTTAATTAAAGCAAAACTGATCACAACAAGTGATTAGATGTTGTGTTTCTTTGCTCATGTCTTACCAACCCTTTGGCAAAGGTGACCCCTAAAAGATGCCATGTGATTGTTTTTAAGTGTAAAATTAAAAGACGAGATGAGATACGGCAAACCAAGATCCAGCTCCTATTAAATTTTCCCAGAAACTGGTCACAAATATTTTAGGTTTTTAGATATATTATTTTGCATTTTGCAATAAATACTGATTCAGCAACCATGTACAACTTGTGAAGTTGTGTCGTTTGTAGTGCCCAATTGAACACTAGATTACACTTATCTTTGATTGAACATTACATAACACTCTATCTTTGATTGAACCTAGGCTCCCAGCAGCCTCTACCCGGTCATGAGACTCAAGAAAGACATCCAGGTGGACGTGATAGACGACAAGTGCCCTCTACAGGCCTGGGTGTGCACAATCATTGATAACTGTGGAGGTCGTCTGAAGGTCCGCAGCTTGGGCTATCCTGACGGTGATCATGACTTCTGGCTCTTCTACCAGTCATGGAGGGTGCATCCCCTCGGCTGGGCCAAGGAGAGGAAGGTGGCTATCGGACCTCCAAAACGTAAGTCTGCATGCCTCCATTCAGGATGTCAACAAATTGGGGAGCAAGAGCTAGATTGTTCCTTGGTGCCATGTATTTGTGAAAAAAAACAAAGGGGTGTGGAGAATTATTCCCAGCTTTTTGTGGGATAGTTGTGAAGTTAACTACATTTACATCCCATGATTTGGGTGTGATTTACCTTTTGACTGCACATTACTATAGCTAGGTTTCATCATGAACCTAACACTGTGTAATTCTACATTTGACACAGATGTCTTATGTTCTACTGTCTTTCAATGATTTGTTTCTTTTTACAGCGGTGAAAGATTACAATCCTCATTGCACAGCTGCACATTACCAGGCCATGTACAAGCATGCTCTCAACAAGGCGGGAAACTCCCTCAACCTACCTGCTGAACTATTCAAGGTATATATATATATATATCCCACTCTTAGATTTATTTGTCTAGTTTTCTACAAAAACTGATGGTTCACAGACTCATACATGTACTCAAGGGTGTCGAAAGGTTGGGAGAGGATATTGTACCTTTTGCTTCTCCCTCGTCCCCACTTCACACTTTTTTCTTTTTTTTTCTTGGGGGGGGGGGGGGAAGATTTTTAGTGTACAGTGCATTAGAATGCATAATTGATAACAACCGAATTATAGAACTCCTTTTTGTGGAAATGGGGGGGGGCAGTCTATCTCCTAACCACCCCTACTTAGTCCACTCTCGTGCACAGTATCCCCCTTCTCTTGAGAACCTTATGATGCTCTTGCTTGTATTCTGATTAATATATGTACCATTTCAGTGTGAATGGTTGGAGCAGTTGATTCAAAAGAGAAAATTCTAATTTAGAGAATAGGTTAACTGGTGTAGAGTTGGTTATGTGTTCCAGAGATGACTGAGTAGACTAGCAATGAAAGCAGTGTAGAAGATAGTATAGGACAGGGAAGATGACTAATAACTTGCTGACAAAGAAGGTGTGAGGAGTTCTGTGACAAAGAGTATTCCTCAGTGGAGAAGCAGTAGATATCGGAATGAGACTACATATAGGCTACTCCCCATATGAAATTTCTATAAATGTTCTAAATTGTCCTAAATGATTTTAAATGTTTTATACTATCTATTACCTTTTTTTGAAGGAGCATAACAAAATCACCATCCACAAGTTCTTGGCTGGAATGCGATTGGAGGCCGTCAATCCCAAGGCTCCCTCCCAGATCTGCCCGGCCACCGTCACCGAGGTCTTCAACATCTACTTCTTCCGGGTCACCCTGGATGACCTTCGACCTGAGGGCGAGCGGGAGGAGGTCAGGATCACCTGCCATGGCATGTCTGGAGGTATCTTCCCCGTCGGCTGGGCTCAACTGACCGGCGTCACTGTGACCCCACCCAAAGGTGACTTTACTGCTCTAGTCTTACAGAAAAGAGTGTGACAGTGTTTATGTAGTGTCTGTGTACGTTTGTGAGAGAGAGAGAGAGAGAAAGAGAGAGAGAGAGAGAGAGAGAGAGAGAGAGAGAGAGAGGAGGGGGGGGGGGGGGGGGGTTAAGGACCAGTGCTTAATTGCAAATAATTTAATGATTTTAAAAGAAAACCAAGCAACATCAACAAAAAACAACAACAACAACAAACAGTAAAACCTTGTCTTGGTAATTGCACATGTTTTTGATGGTGGTATAATGCAGGGCTTAACATTAACAGGGAGCTAGGAAGAGAAAGCGTAATTGCAAATTGCAAATGAGTGTCATAATAAAATAATATAAAGTCATAAATAGCTCTCTTACACACTAATGGTAACACAAACAGTTACTTGTACAAACTTTGTAGGCCATCATTTCTATGGCAGCCTATAAACTCAACAGTTGCAATTTTGTTATGAAATTATTTTTTGAAAAGGATTTTTTTTTTTTTTTTTAAATTTCTGCTCTACTCGCATGTGTGTCTAGTTACAAGGAAGAAGCTTGTATACACATATGATGTTTGGCTTACAAAGCTATAAATCTTCTGTTTGAATAATATTTTAATGGTCCAATGAATGACTAAAACCCATTTCTACACCCCACTTTGATTGACAACAGGCTATGTGAATCTACAGCAAGGGAGCCACTTCGATTGGAATATATACCTCAGACATGTGAAGGGAAAGCCTGCGAGTAGGAGTATATTCAAGCTGGTGAGTCTAGTCATTATATAGTCTTGTTTAATGAGATAACTATATCATGATAAATAGAAATTAAGTATTTAGTAGGGTGTCCAATTTAACTCTTCTTTTTCTTGGACAAAGTTAATTGAAGAAATAAATTAATGCATATATAGAAAATGTCATGCAAAGATATTAAGAATGTATGGTAGATTAAATTTTTTTGAAAACAATACTCACAAGACTGACCCGTTTGAAATTCCATTGAGTGAGATTATTACATGGGTTTTGAAATTAGATGTTAGTGAGTCTGTATCCAAGAAAGGAAACAGTAACCACAACTCATAAATGGTAAGATTTCTTACTAGCCCCATACACAATCCTCCTACTTGTGATTTGTGTTTTTCATCCATCCAGACATCTGATCATGACTTCCAGCACGGCATGAAGCTAGAGGCTGTCAACCCCTTCAACGCCAACCAGATCTGCCCCGCCACGGTGACCAAGATAGCTGGCCGCCACATGTGGTTACACTTTGATGGTAGCAAACTTCCCAACCACATTGTTGACATAGAGTCGACGGAGATCTTCCCTGTAGGGTGGTGCGATAGCAATGGATACACTTTGAGAACACCCAAGAAACTCCTGGGTGAGTTTTTGAAGAGTTGGCTTTAATTCTTTGTTTGCCAGGTTCTAAATCCCTGGGCTCAATAAGATAAAGACTAGTGAGCATTTGATTGCTATTTTGGTGCGAATCATTTGATCGTATCATCACTCCATTGACCATATGATGAATTGCTATTGCAGGCACCAGGGCTGCCAATTTGTTGCAACTGTGTATGTGTGAGAAAAGTTCAGTTAATAATTGATTTTGTGTTATATCACTTTGTTATATCATCTTTATAGTTGTTTTGTTTGTTCATAGTTGCAATATACTTATTAAAGTGATGATACATGTATATTAAATCACAAATGTATAGAAATAGAGAGTGCTTATGGAGTCTTTTAGTTTTGAATCAAACTCCAATTTTACTTCACACCAGTGTTATCTCTGCATACCGTATAAACTTGAATATCCTAATTTTATTTTTTACAGGCACTAAGAAAATGTGAGAAGTTGGATGTGGAAAAAGCAAGTATGTTTAAAACCTATCAATACTATAAAAACCTCTTTTTTGCTACCAATTTTTTGTTCTTTTTTCTCCATACAGCAAGGAAAACAAAGAGAGTCGCCATTGTTTGGCCTGAAAAGCAAAGGTGAGAACTTTTAATTATTCTCATTGGAAGCTTCATCATATGTCAACACTTTTTTTTATTTTGTTAAATGAATATATTACAGTACTGCTTTCCATGAAATATTTTTATTGTATACATAAGATGTTTTTATGCCTCCGTTACGAAGTAGCCGGAGGCATTATGTTTTCGGGTTGTCCGTCCGTCCGTCCGTCCGTACGTCTGTACGTACGTCCCGTTCTCGTGATCACGTTATCTGAAGAACGGATCGATGGATTCCTACCAAACTTTGGTCATATATGTATCTAGCAAAGTCGATGAACTGATTAGATTTTGGGGTCACGAGGTCAAAGGTCAAAGGTCACAGGGCTCATTATGTATGCAAAAACAGCTCGTGATCGCGTTATCTGAAGAACCGATTGATAGATTCCTGCCAAACTTTGGTCATGTATGTATCTTGTAGAGTCGATGAACTGATTAGATTTTGGGGTCACGAGGTCAAAGGTCAAAGGTCACAGGGCTCATTATGTATGCAAAACGGCTCGTGATCGCGTTATCTGAAGAACCGATAGATGGATTCCTGCCAAACTTTGGTCATGTATGTATCTTGCAGAGCCAATGAACTGATTAGATTTTGGGGTCACGAGGTCAAAGGTCACAGGGCTCATTATGTATGCAAAAACAGCTTGTGATCGCGTTATCTCAAGAACCGATTGATGGATTCCTGCCAAACTTAAGTCATGTATGTTACTTGCAGAGCCGATGAACTTATTAGATTTTGGGTAACGAGGTCAAAGGTCAAAGGTCACAGCGCCCATTATGTATGCAAAAACAGCTTGTGATCGCGTTATCATTAGAACAGATTGATGGATTCCTGCCAAACTTAGATCATTTATGTATCTTGCAGAGCCAATGAACTGTGTAGATTCTTGGTTCATAAGGTCCAAGGTCATGGGCTCATTATGTATGCAAAAATAGCTTGTGAACGCATTCTCATTAGAACTGACAGATGGATTACTATTTAACTCTGGATATCTTGCAGAGCCAATGAGCTGAGTAGATATTAGGATCATGAGGTCAAAGTTCAAAGGGTCATATATGTAAATGAGAAATTGTTTGTAATCACGATATTCTGAGAACCTGTTAATGGATTACAATTGAACTTGAATTTGAAAAATTTCTTCTGTTTTGGTTTGTAAAATTGCTCTATGACGGAGGCATCATTTTCGACTGCGCGCAGTCGAATTCCATCTAGTTTTGTGATACAGTAGGAATGTTAATGCAATAGAGTGCAATCCATATGCATGTGGAAGTTATAGTCTATAAATGAAATTGCTCTTTCGAACCTCATGTTACTATTTCCTGAAAGAAGAATTGATCACCACAAAAATCATTTATGTGCGTTATCATACATTTTACTGCATTTAGATGCATTTACTGTATCGTTTGTGAATTCTGCAAATCAGGAAAACGTGTTGATAGGTAGAAAATAGCATATCTGCATCTAGGATATTTCATTATTATCTGAATATACTATTTTAAAATGTAATGTGATTTTTAGTAAGTGTTTGTCATGCTATGGCAGTTTATTTTCTTCTCCAGAATCCATTACTGTGCTGTAAACCAATTACAGTGGTTTAAAGATAATCTCTCGCCCCCCAAAACCACTTCATTAACAGAATTAAAATCACCTTTACTAGTTTCTTTTTCTCTACTGTCTGTCTTGGACATTTCATTTCTTACTATATTTTGCTTGGGAAATTGATGCTTTGCCATTGTTATTTGTCGCTTGTTTATGTATATTGTATTGTTTTACTGTACCATTTCTGGTCCTTGTGAAAGACCAGCAACATCATAACAATAACGCTGAATATGGGCTATCCTGCTGTTTATTTCATCTTGTAAATCATTATTCTATTTGTTATTGTTTTACTGAATGCATGTGGTCTTTTTATTTATTTAAAGCCACACTGTCCTACTTTTTGCTACTTGCTCCCTCTATATGGAAAACAATGTGTAATTGGTGACCATTGGTCCCCCATGATCCTCTTTTTCTTACCGTATGTTAATTGAGAGCTGAGTTGATGAGATAACCACCTGTCCAGTGACCTTGCAGGGTGGTCTAAACCCTCCTATAAATTAGAACAAATAATCTTTAAAATAACGAAAAAACCTTTGCCTTTTCTGTTTGAAGCAGGTTTGCCCCAATGAGCCCTGGACGGGATCTCTACCATAGAGTACAGGAAGTGAGAGAGGCAGCCAAGGAGGAAGAGGGAGCAGAAGAAGGTATGATCAGGACAAGCCCTGTTCAAGATTCACCCTGATGGGTTGATCTGCTGATGTAGTTTGGTGGTGATGATGTAGATGTTGTTGATATCGGTGATGGTGATAAAGATGGTAGTGGTGGTGCTGCTGATGATATAGATTGGTTTTATGGTTTTATTGAAATACCGAACCTGACAGTCCTTATGCTGAATTACATTCACTTTACAAGATAAAAACAACTCAACTTGCACACCACTGTTGTAACAGTTGTCATACAATGAGAGAACATTAACAAATTAAATCAAGTTATACAATTTCTTGAATGAAAGATGATGGTGGAGATGACTTAAAAGAACTTATGATGTAGATGATCAGAACGATGTATCTTAGACAACCATTATCAAGAATTGTATAATATTCAACTGATAGTGACATTGATGATGACAGCAGTTCTTTGGATGATGATAAATAAAAGACAAAAATACTCACAAAATGAAATCATTCCTAAAACATATCTCTCTTTAGACTGTTTCTTTCTCACACAATCCTCTACTCTCCTCACATACCAGATTGGATTGACAAGGTCTACTACAATCACAAGTGCTTCTCTGGTCCTTACCTGAACAAGGGGCGCATTGCGGAGCTGCCCAAGTCTGTTGGTCCAGGCATGGTACCCCTGGTGCTGAGGGAGGTGCTCCACATGCTGATCAACGCTGCCTACAAGCCTCCCAGGGTGCTCCGCGAGCTCCAGGTGGAGAACGAGGAGACGGCAGGGATGAACGGCTCCCTCCACGTCATGAAGGCTAAGTAAGTGACCTGGAGGGTGTTTCATAAAGCCTTTTTTCAATGACAAATGACAAGTATCAGTGACAAATCTGCTGATAACCAATCAGAAGCGAGGATTTCAGTAGCTTATAGCAAAGACTGTCATTTGACATTGATGACAAGTTTTGTGAAACGGGTCCCTGCTGTTAGATTCTCAACCACTTGGATGGATTCTTGGAGTGGATTAATGAGGCCATTTGAGCTAAAATGAATGTGTCTGCCATTTTCCACATTAAAGTTTTATGTTTAAAAAAAGGTATGAATTGCATGTTTTAGAATAGTGCCAAAGTGAACACATTGTAATGTTAGAGTACTGCAGGCCCTTCGACCATATGCAAAATACTGTTAGTCTAACAGGGTTCTAATACAAAAAAAATTACAGAAAGGTATTTCTTAACATATATTGTTGAACCATTCCTTACCAAGTAACATTTATAATTTGTAATTTGTATAAGGTTTTATGAAATGGTTTCATTTATTACTGCTAAATTAATTACTGGATCAAAAATGTAAACATTTGTTTCCATTGGAGCTTGTGATTTTGTTAAAGATTTGCAATTTGAAACTAGTTTGTTGGTCCCAATTAATAACCTCTTGATAAGGAGTTGACTTGACTTGCTTTGGATTAACTTCTCCTAATGTGATTACTTTGGCTGTGTGTAAACCACAGATACAAGGGCAAGAGCTACCGTGCCATGATTGAGTTGTGCAAGACGGCCAGTGAGGTACCAAGCTTCCTGAGAAATACCTGTCTAAACCTTGAATGCTGTCCTAACCTGGTCTCGCTCCATCAAGTACAAGATTCCTGCCCAGAACAGTGTTTCAATCTAAACAAGAGTAAATACAGTAAGTTGAAATCTTGAATATCTTTTGAGATTCTGTAAACTGTGTTTACCAGATTAGCCCATTGTATTTTTGCTAGGGTAATGAACCCTATTATCTCAAAGATAGGAAGGAATTCCTTAAAATGCTGTGAGCGTCGAAATCGGCAGCCTAGCATAGCCGGGTAATGTTGGAGCGCCTTGAGGACCTTGTAAGGTTGATACGTGCCCTATGTAAGAATCCAATATTACTATTTATTATTATTATTAATGTAGAGGTGAAACAAACAAATATCTGCCTTCATGTTATAAGTAATAGTTGCATCCATTTTGTGTAAAAACAGTAAGTTATAGAGGGCTCCACACAGCTTGATATCATCACAGGATTCCATATTCATATTTTTAGGGCCTACATATGTTTCCATGCACACCTTGTTTAAACTTCTCAATTTTGGGGCACGTACCTAACCCTGTTAGTGTCAAACCTTTTTATATTGCTGTATGGCTTTGAAAATTTTGCCCTATTATATGCTACATAATATATTTGTGAATACCTAACAACTCATTACAGCTATTGATAAAAAGATTCAAGTAGAATATGGTCATAGTATTAAAGCCCCACTGCACCACTAATAGCTACTTGCGCCCTCTATATAGCAAACGATGTCTAATCGGTGACTGTTGGTCACCCATGATTCCCTTTTTTAAATGTTAATTGAGAGCTGATTTGATGAGATAACCACCTGTCAGTGATATTGCAGGGAGTTCTAATCTCTCCTGGATAATCTAGTATAGACGGGCTTTAAGTCAAATTTTATTAAAGATTGATTTAGTTTATAATTTTTGTCACTGTTGAAATACTTATCACACTTGACGTTATCTTCCTTGACCTTATTTTTTGTAGTACAAGCATATGGAAGGAAACACAAGCCAGCCCGTCTTGGCAGACCACCCGTTCCCAAGGCCCAATCCAAGTCAGGCGATAAGAAGGGGAACGGGCGTCGGCGCAAGAAGAGGCGCCAGCTCTTCATCCACCGGAAGAAACACAACAACCTCAAGCCAGACTCGCCCGATAAGACACAGGCTGAAGGAGGGGTGCAGGGAGGGGGAGGAGGGGATGCTGCCATAGCATTGAGCAGCACTGAGGCAGAGGCAAGGAGACGGGAGCTACTACACTCAGCAAAGAAGCCACTAGTCAGCAGAGCCAAAGCCTTGCTGGACTCTGCAAAGCGAACAAAGGTAGTTGATTTATTTATAACATTTCATTGATGGAAGTATACAAGTTGACATGAAAGCATAGTAAAGATTTTGTTGTCGTTACTTGGGGAAACAAAGAAAGGAATCACAGGTTTTCTAGTGAGAAGTTGGTTGCCTCAAGCCCTGGGGAGTGTTTCACAAAGACTAAGATTGACTTTAAGTTGGACTTAACTATGGCAGGCCATTCATGCCACTGGTTACACTCACCATTGGTCTCGCCATTATGATCTTTAGATAACATTTTTCCTTCAATAATGAACTATCGAGAAAATGTAGATTTGTGACCATGATTTATATGTCCCTTTAGAAACCAATGCATGGAATGGGTAGAGGAACTAGTGGCATGAAGGGCCTGCCATAGTTAAGTCCAACTTAAAGTCCATCTTAGTCTTTCTTTGTGAAACACTCCCCTGGTATGATACCATGTTCTTTCCCCGCTTGATTCTGCAGCTCCAACACAGTACTCCTAAGCTGATCCTCCCCCATCGGGAGAGAGGAACCAAGATGAAGAACTTTGCTGCCAGACTCACATCCTCTAGAGCGCAGAGGAAAGAGGAGGAGAGGGAGAGGATGGAGCAACAAGAGAAACAACTCATGCAGCAACACCAAAAGAAGTTGCAACAACAGCAGAAGCAACAACAACAGCAGCAGCAGCAGCAGCAATCAGAGGACCACAAACACAAACATGCCAAAGACAAGAAACAAGTAAGTTCGCCTAACAACTTTAATTTTTAGTAAATATGTACTTCCAATTGAGGATCAACATGTGTACAACCATGGGAAATTCAAGAAACAGTTATCCCCTAATTCTTCAAAGAGGTTCGTCTTTAAGGTTATATGGAAAGTTGTTGATGCCAAATTATAGCACCCACCATGATTTTATTATTAAATGAGTCATTATGTAACAAAATAATATGATCACATGCTTTCATGGACAAAAGTACCTTTAGATAGTTTGGGATTTGAAAATCAGTTGGTTAGATTTATTTTGTTGGAGCCCTTTTTTTTTTTTTTTTTACTTCATAACTGCCGGTAATGGAATTAAAACCTAATTGTCAATAAAACATAAAATGTCAGTTTCCATTATCGGCATTTGGGAGGGAGTTCCTCAAAAGCGTTTTCATCTGTATACAACAACATTGATACAACTCTATATTTTTGGGCTACATAGTGGATACGGTACTTTAATAGGAAATGTAATTCTACTCCATTATAGTTTGGGGATTTATTGGAATATTGAATTATGATGAGTGATAATATTGTTTTCTTTCTGCAGACACCCAGTCCAGTGAAGATTGAGAGTAGCTTGAAGTTAGAGAGCAACCCTCTCCATTGGAGCGTGGACAGAGTCGTCAAGTTTATCAAGAAGACAGACTGTGCCAGTCTTGCCAAAGTATTCAAGGACCAGGTAAGAAAGAGGTCACACAACACATACTTCAGTGACAATAGCTGTCCAGGAACTTCCCAGCACTAACCGAATTCCTAAGTACAGAATTCTTAACTTAACCTCGGACCTGACACATACATTTACCAATTTTGAACCATAATCATAAACCATGCTAAAAGTCCACTCACAACCCTATCCCGAAACCTATACCTTTGTCAAGTCTCAGCCTTTATGTGACAAAATGTATCTTGTACTGAACTATCCTCCAGTGATATATATCCATGTCATTATATACAAAAAGAAACGATTATTTGCTTTTACCTTTAAAATTATATTTCATATATTAAATTTGTTTTGACATTATTATAGAATTATTATTTGGAGCGCTGTCCTTGTTAAAGGTACTATGTCCCATGTGCAGGCCAAAAAAATGAAAAAGTTAAATTCCAACTGCATTTGAAAGATAATACTAATTTAGAACTTCCCTAAAAAAGGTGGGGCTTGAAAATGTCTTCAAGTGGGAAAATAACAACTATTAGTTGCCAAATCGACTTTAGGGCTATAGAGCCCAAAAGTAATAGTCTTGATTTTCAGACAATTGTACCGAATGGTCATACACTATATGCTGCGCAAAGATTCAATCAGTTTAATCTTGGCCATCACAAGAAGTGGGTTATTGATGTAGACAAATGCTCATGTACCCTTTACAACTCTTTTCATGTATGTTATTACCAAAGAAGAAAAAAAGCCAGTCAGTCACTCAATAGTGACTGACAGTGAAGTCTAGCAAGTAAACGGGTTTCCTTGCATAATTTGAATATGAGGACACTGCTAACGTTTAAATTTCACAGATAGGACATACATGACATATTCATAATTCCAGCAAAGTTCTACAGCATTTGAGGTTGGCTGCAAAAGGAACATGGTACCTTTAAACCAAAGAATCTCAATAACTTAAAGCTAATTGGGGGTATTTCCTAAGAAGTATTTATTTTCTGCAAAGTTTGCAAAGCAATGACAGTTTGTGATAAAGTCACATATTTCTCAATTGATCATCAATAAGCAAATATGGCTTTCTTCCTACTTCTCATTTCATTCATAGGAGATTGATGGCCAAGCCCTTCTCCTACTGACCCTGCCTACAGTACAAGAATGCATGGAGCTGAAATTAGGGCCTGCCATCAAGCTATGCCATCACATTGAACGGGTTAAGATAGCATTCTATGAGCAGTATGCATCATGACATCCTTGACCCATCGGTTACCACAACCTCGCTATATGAAGACCAGGGATTGGTTTCACAAAGCCTTTTTTCAATGACAAATGACAAAACTGCTGATAACCAATCAGAAGCAAGGATTTCAGTAGCTTATAACAAAAACTGTCATTTGTCACTGATGACAAGTTCTATGAAACGCCCCCCAGAGGGTTACCGTACATGAAGTCTTAACTGGTTTGGGTAGACCAATGGAACAAATGGGACTGCCACGGTCAACTTTTCTCACATGTATAGTCTATATGTATAATGTACTCCCAAACAGTCTCCCAGCGGCCCAGGGTTTCAATCCATTGCGAAAAAAGAGTTGATGTGACATGAACACTCTACCGTACTGCTGAAATGTATCAATGCTACCTTTGCTTACTGTTCCAATGTCTGGCCGGGAGGACACAATCACTGTATGGTGAGAAGAGACTTAAGATTGCATCCTATGTGTTGTATGTTTCGCCAGTTATCACAACCTCCCCTATGAAGACAGGACGGGTGTGTTAATGAGCCATTAGAGCGCTTTCGCAAAGACAGCGGGAGAATTACGGCGATACAGCTCTTCCGTCGTGTTTAGGGAACGAACGCTATCATAGCCGCGTACGGTCGTGAAAATCAACACGACAGCGAAACTTCTGGTTCGCACATGTGCAGATTGTTTTTTCGCTCACATTACCGTCGTCTTTGCCTTACATCGTCTTTGCGAAAGCACCCTATTGACACTACAACACTACATGAGGAAACCGGTCAATACCGTCTTTGCTTCATGTTTTTATTCTGCAGAAGGGCACAATCAGTGATAGATGGTGGATGATATCAGGGTCAAGATGATATCCTAAGTGCAAAGCTGCCAACCATTCCGTTTTTGCCGGAATTACTCCGTTTTTTCCTCCAAATTACGGTACTACGTTTTTTCTTCATAAAATATGTTTTTTAATAATTTTTTAATTTTTTTTTTTTTAATTTTTTTTTTTTTTTTTTTTACATACCACACGTCAAACAACTGCCCTTAAATGGTGATTTGATCACGAATTCAATAGAAAACTTATTTAAAAACATACTTGAAGAGAAAAATATTCTCAAAAGAAAATAAATGCCGATAATACCAAAATAACCACAAAAAAAATTACCTGCTTGTATGGAAAAAACAGCATGATGAATGAACATTTCTGCATTGGAAGTGTGTCGCGCGTGGTTGCCATCATGATTCCTTTTTTTGGTCGCACAAGGTTGGCAGCTCTGTAAGTGTAGTACATGTCATGAGTGCTTGCCAAAGGCTCACCAGCCTAGTTCTGGAGATCCTTTACTTTGCAGGGCTCTGGTAGTAGTGATGAAAGCTCTCTCTGCTTTTGCAATCATGTATGCTGCTGTACATTATCATTTTCAATACAATGTAATAAGTCTGTGAAGGGTGAGGAGCTACATTTGCTAATTATTGAATAACAATCATGAGAGTGAGATAAGTCAATATAAGTCAATATTCTCCCCTCTCAGGCACAGTTGATGACAAATACTTAATACTAATAACAAGAATTAAAAAGAACATAGCTTGCCCTTATACTAAAATGAAATATAGACTACCGGTATAGTAGGAATATGTAAGTACTAGCATCAAGACTTGGGTTGAAATTCACCTTTGCTACTGTCTTTCTGCATCGAAATGTGTGAAAACATGAGCTGCAGTATATACCGTAAGAGAGAGATTATTCTCTTATTCTTTGCTTTGTTTTTTGTCTGGAAGTGGTATGGTTGATCCTGCTTCGACCATGAATATGATGTACTTTTTGTGTGAAATTCATTTTGTAACAAGTGTTTATATGTGGACGGTTAGAAATAGATATGTTTCGAGTAATACTTAATGATTTTGTTTATTGGTGCTATCGCTATGCTATTTCAAGAAAAGAAAATTGCCAAAGCTAGATAGATAATGTGGAATATATAATATGTACTAAACAAGAAAGTATACAGAAATTTGCTTTATAAGAGAATAGATAATTTGATTACGAAGGGAATCGTATAGCAAGTAAATAGCTTAGTAGGTTTTATATAATGAAATGTATCTATATTGTCAATTGCCAGCAATCCAGACTTTGGTGGGTTTTTCTTTAAAACTACAATGTCAGGATGTGATTATTTTGTATTATTGTTTATTTTTTTTAATTTTTATTTCTCACTATATTTGTGTTCTTTTATCTGTGATTTCTTTCAAAGATTCTATTCTGAAGGAGAAACTAAAAGTCTTTAGTAGAAATGTTTTCTTACATGGTAAGCTTCAGACAGGCTAAGTTGCGGTAAAGATGCAAAATAATCTATGACATTTTTCATTTTATTCCCATTTTTGAGAACATGATATTAGCTATGTCTCATGAAAATTATAGCTCTTGATGTTCTTTGATATTTCAAATAGGACTGAAAATGATTAGAAGACACTCTTTTTTTTCAAGGTAAAATACTGCATTTAGTAAAAAAAAAAACATGAGTCCTGTGATTCCCAACTCTGGCATTACCAGAACTATGACATGCTATCACATTTTGGATGGAGGGTAGAACACTAATGAATATTTCAGGATTAAAAAAAGAAAAATGAAATAGAGAGAGAGAGAGAAGATCACTGGAATAATAAACAGTTCAATACCAATAGCCATGAAAGGTCATAAGGTCATCTGATGCAGGTATTCGGCCGTCCAATGGTAGCTGAGACCATAAAAAATCTCAGAATATGTAGTTGTGATATATAATTTCCAAACGGGAATAGCTAATCGGTCGATTTTAGTCAAGAAACATTGTTTCATAGCTAAATTGATATCTTGACCTTGAGAGGGAGCTATACAACATAAAGAGTTTATTATTTATATTTTCATAACTTTAGACTCGATTTCAATGGAGTCAACGATCAATGAATATTGTAGGAACGCATATGCTTCCAATATGTTAATTTGAACCAAATTCATGACCCCATACCAAAACTTTGTAATACCTTTAAACTACCCTTTTTTATTCATCTATTCAATATTCCTCTTTAGGACCCACTTAAAGGAATAATTAGCTACTCTCAAAGGATGTATGTCAGAACCGGAACCATACAATTCCTGCTCTTCAATGCCATTTGATCAATCCCAAGGATACTATTGAAGGTATGGCTCGTGATCGATTAGAGATTAAAATATTCTAGTGGATTTATAACTAACCTCATGGAAACAATACATATTTTCATCTTACGCTGCCCACATGCAATTATCATAAGTGGACTAACAGAGCTTGAGGCTTATATTTGTCCTTAGGATGACTTAAAGGAATAATTAGTATCTATTTCAGAACCAGAACCAGAACCATTCTTCCTTCTCAATGCCATCTGATCAATCCCAAGAGATCTATTTACGTTATGACATCTTATCTATCTACAAATTTCATTTCTGACTAATTGCATCAAACGTAAGTTCCGTTTCTTGTATGGCTTCAAAAGCACGTCTCCTACACAGGCAGCTTACTGTGTAGTTGTTTCATAGAAGAAGAAAAAATTTCATTTGTCTTCAATTCTTTGTATATTTTTCATGAATAATCCTTATGTTGCCCTCAATTCTATCAAGTAAAATGTTTATTATGATTTTCATTTTTTGCATCTTTTTTTGCATTTCAAATGAACATACGACTTTTTATCTTTTTTGTTTAATGTTTGCTTCATAATTAATCTGATGACATCAAGTTGTTAATATTCATCAGAATATATCAGAAAAACATGTTTTGCATTTAACAAATGGCAAATGAAGCCTTAGTTACCTCCATGAATAACATGGACTTGCGTCAGAGGATAGCGAAAGGCAATCATGTAACATTACTCAGAAAGCTCAAGGACCCTGTGTTGACAGGAAATGAATGTCATAAATGCTGCTTGACCTAAGGAGCCTTGGTACATAACTTCATAAGAATGATGTAAGAAAATTAAGTAATTTTCAGAGCGATAGACTTGAAGATGTTATGTAACATCATTGATCAAAAGTGTTAATACTCGTTCCAAGACTTCATCCTGAAATGAATTTTCTAGAAGATATTCTGATTCTGAATTGAGTCGATTATGAATGCAAGAAATAAGAATAGTTGTATATTTTTGAGGTTTTGGAACCAGTGTCGGTGTCCAATTACTTTAGAAGTTAGTTCCTGATGGTCATCTATTTTGTAAAGGCCTGGTTAACGATGGGTTGTTTTGTTTACTCTGTTTATGTTTGTTGGTTAGTTGGTTGGTTTTAATTTTGGTTTTCTTTTCTTTTTATGAGGGGGGAAGAGGGGGGGGGGGGGTTGTTTGTTCACCTCTTTATTACAAAGGCAGCAATAGAAAGTTTGGCTAGATAATCATGGAAGAATATAGAGCTTGATTATGAAAGGCAGGAAATCTATGTCAACAATAAGGCAAACTTCAATGTAAACAAGCCGTTAATGAGTGGTTGTAGTTTCTTTTTTGAAGGTGGCCAAAATAATGTCAACATTGCAAGAGGGTGTTGTGTGCCCTGTTTATTTACTGTTCAGGTCAAAGAAAATAATTGATATGAGTACGCAATTATGGCTTTAAAAATTGTTGTGGCTCCAAGTCTAGGATTCAAGAAATTAAATTTGAAAGAGAATTGATAATTCAATGGGAGCAACTCCATTTAATAGGCCCTGCAGAATTGATAATAACCTGTCATGCTGTTACAGAATTAGTTAACAGTGTCTTTCTGTTATGAAATGAATTTGAATGATTGATTTTATTACAATATTATTTCAGGGATACCATTTGCAATGAGTAATTTCTTCATCAAATTGTTAATGTATATATATATCTTTTTCTCATGGTAATGTACCAGTAATACTCTGGATTAGTTTTGCATTATAGGTTAGTAGCCCGAAATGATTTGAATTGAAGCCTATACAAAGTAAAAAGCCTCCATAAGCTGTAACTTGACTGGTATGTTCATGCTTTGGTATGACAGCAACAAATTAAACATTGAGATTGTACTGTTTCTCTCTCAGAGTGAAGTAAAAGTGTGTGTAACCCATTGTTGCTATGTCAGGTTAAGATTTTGTAACCA